GCAGGGCTGCAGGAATCAGCAACGCTGGGTCTGTCAGCCAGCAGAGCACTGTGCCATTTGGGTTAAAAAAAAAAAATCCATTTCCTCAGCTGCCTTTTAAGTAAAGTGGGTGTACTTCCTGCTGTTTGAAGCTGTTCAGTAGGGCAATTACATTTTTACTGACATCTACACTAACAGTGAAAGCATCAGGGAGCTCAGTGCTGCTCCTGGAAATAGAATTCCACAGGCAAGGGCTCCCATATCTGCCCCAAGGAGCCCCAGTACAACCTGCCCTAATACCTGCACCCTGCAGAGGGGTGACAGCAGTCACCTTGCTTTTAGGTGAGAGCAGGGAAGGCCTGGTGGTGATGCAGTTTGCCTTAGGGGCCCTGCCCTGGGGTATTGCAGAGCCTCCACAACCTGCAGCGGCACCTTAGAACCAACAAACTGCTGTTAAACCAACGGCAGAAGTGGCCAGTGCAGATAGTGGTAGGACAAGAGTGCCCTTTAAATCACAGCTCTGCCTTCCTCTCACGTGTGCTGGGCAGGGATGTGAAGGCAGAGGGAAAGAGTGCCTGATGCCAGACTGCCTGGGAAGACTGCTGAAGTTGGGCATTTGTAGTTGCTACTTGTCAAACCCCATCTTGCAGAGTTTGAGGCACCTCAACCCTGAGGAGCTTGCAAAGCACTGGCTGGAATCACTGTGACAGGGGCCTGCTTTGGTACCTAATGAAAGAAAATGGGAAAGAGGGCATCATTTGGACACAGCTTCCTGAGGAGGGACAGCAGAGGATGGGAAAAGGTAGGGGAGCTGCTATTCATCCTCCACCACCCATGCCCCTAGTCTGTGATGCTGGTGTCACATGTGTCACCAAACACCTGGCTTGAAAATAGTTTACTTCACTGCTGTGAACTTCAAGGCTCCTCTGTTAATGTTTATTAATTTACTGAATAAATAGCAGCAAGGTTCAGTACTGTCTGTGGCTTTGGCTGCTTCTACAGCATTCAAAGCAATTAGTGCCATGAAAGCAAATGGTCTATTTAGTGGGGGAATTTGTAGGGTAGAAATGAGATGAGATTCCTGAACAGATGTGCCCTCCTCTAGCAGGATGCAGCGCATGGTAGGCCTCAAGCTGACACCAGGCAGAACCCCTCCCTGCCTTCCCCAGCTGGTTGTGGTATCAGAGCCAGTCCTCTAACTCCACAACAAGCACAAGGAGCTGCCAATTTAAAGTATTTTGTCTGCCAGAGATGAAAAAGAGGAAGGATTCCTTTGTTGTGGGGGCAGGAGGTGGCACCAAAATAAAAACACTCCCCCCAGTTCTCTAAAAGGAAGCAAGTGCCTCACGTAAGAAAAAAGCCGAGCCTCCAGTAAAGGGCACAGTGGCAGTCCTGCCCCAGTCCTGCACTGCTCCCTACCTGCTTTGTGGCTGAGCCAAGGCCTGAGGTCTCAGGGCTGCACATGCTTGTGCCTGGCAGCTCTCCCAGCCCTGCACTGGCTGGCAGGGACTGCTGGAAGCTGCCCAGCCTCCAGATGCAGCTCCTCAGCAGGAGTTGGTCCTGGGGTGCAACCAGCTGGGGGCTCTTTCCTTTATCCAGGGCTCCGTTCCTCCCCCAGTGGCACTCGCACAGCCCTGTGTCAGCCTGGCAGCCTTTCCATCGCACGGATCATAACATCATAAAAATGATTTGGGTTGGAAGGGACCTCAAAGCCCACCCAACCCCAGCCGTGGGCAGGGCTGTCCCCCCACCAGCTCAGGCTGCCCAGGGCCCCATCCAACCTGGCCTGGAGCACCTCCAAAATAACTAATTTTGAAAAAGCAAAGTCACCTTTCATACCATCCTTCCCCCTTGGTCCCCACCTAACCAGTATCAAGCAAGAGACCCATCTGAAAGCAGACTCTTCGGACACATCAGAGGTGAGATGGTGTGGTGCACTCAGGGCAGGGCATCGAGAGAGCTGGAGCTTAAATAATTTCTTCTGTGACACAGCGGAAAAAAATCCACTAAGAATGAAAATCCATCAAACTTGAGAAGACAAACGAGGACCAGAAATGCAGCAGCCAAAGATTCTACAGGAATAAAACCAAGACAGCACATCTGGTCTCAGTAGGCATGTGCCCATGGCACCTCCAGTGCCCTGACTGACTGAATGCTCCCAAGTAGCAGTGCCTACATCTGAGCTGTAGCACCGCATGCTTAAGCACTGTCGCCTATGTAATTCCTGATTCCTGACCAATCTTTTGGTCTTTTCCCTTAGGAATTCCTCTGGCTTGATTTCCTTACCTGCACTGTCACTGTCCCAAATCTCTCTTTCAAAAGGAGGAAGTCAGTATTTCATTTGCATACCAGAATTTCTAGATTTATTTCTCTAATCGAGATACAAAAAAAAAAAAGAAAACTTCAGTTCCTTTATCAATGCTTCCACATTAATAAAAGAACAACTAATTATTTTTAACAGGGCTGTTACCAACTTGACAGGAGCCCAATCTCAAATAAGTTGAACCTCAGTTACTCACCTTTTGTATGTGCTGTTCTGGATGCTCCCGGACAAGTGCTCCCAATTTTTACTTTGTGGCTATAAACTGCTTGGCATCAGAAGTGTGTGATCACGTTTTGCCTAGCATTAGTTCTCAAAATGACAAACTACTCCATTAAAACAGACTTTACACAGCGCAACCCTGGCAGACAGCAAGTTATGAATAATGTGATTTATTCTGCAATTTTGGGCTCTGTTCAAGATACCAAAGCAGAGAATACTTCTCTGTTAATCCTCTTTGGAAATCTTCAGACAACCTCACTCGGGTGCTTAGAGCTCACTCAGAATTTCTTGAAAAGTTAGCAGCTAACAAGCTTTGCAGGGAATCTCAGCACAGAGGTGAAATCCATTCACTGCCTACGTTGTTTTCTTCTGTGCAACTCACTGTCTGTAAGAGACACCAAGAAACACACCACCTAACTCATTTTCAGACTGGTCACCAGAATCCATAACCAAGTTTCAGGTAAAAAATTACAGCCGCATTTGAACAGAATGTGACTTCATGTGAACATTTCTTCACAGCGACTTTCACCAGTGATTGCAGGGAGGCATATAAGAAAAATTAAGTTTCAAACATATGTTCCTGTCTAAGTACTGCTTCTATAAAGTACTCTGACTATGAAGAAAAACCACCACCACCAACAAAAACACCATTACGGTTTTAATTTTGGGTGGTCCTGAGCAGAGCCAGGAGCTGGACTCAGCAATCCCTGTGGGTCCCTTCCAGTGTGGGATATCCGTGGTTATGAAAGTGTCTTTTTGATTAGAGCATACAACAGGCACTAATTGCGCGTGGGCTCAGCTCTCAAATGTGCTGGAGGATGTCAGTGAAACAGAAAGGAGGCAGTCAACCAAGAAGCCAATACCTACACACCAAGAAACCAGATAACGGAGTGTAAAAAGCTTTAATAAAAGCAAACAAAACACAGCTTACACTGCCTGCACTGTCTGGTGAACCATGAAGAACAGAGAAGGTTCCAAACTTGCCGTTAACGCAAATAAGAGAGGAATCTGAACAGCAACACAGCTTTCTTTTCCTCAGCTCTATCACTAAGTTAGGGAGCTCGTTTCAGCTCCAGACTCTACCCAGCAGTATATACACCAAGCTTGCAGACAGATTTAAAGCTCAGATTTAAACCATGACATATGCAGTACTTCAGCCAAGGTAGCAATTCTTGTTTGTTTCCTAAACCTACTGGAATTACTTGGGCCACAGATAGAAGAGAAAAACGGAAGGGAAAAGATGCAGCCAGATGCAGAAGGGTAATTTTTTAATCAGATATAACCCAAATGTAACGTTTAAGAATCAAGACTAAAACCAGGCATCATTTAATGTATTTTAATAGCAAACTTACAGGAACAGCACAGAAGACAGACAACATTAAAAACATGTACTTGCATGTAGGACAACTCAGTTAGAAAAGTATAGTGAATGGATGGAAACTACTGTATGATAAAAATGCTACAAACACCATTTAGTTGCCATTGGTAAGAAATTTACTTGTTTAAAAAAATCCAAATGCTGGCATTGTCCAGAAAAATTTGACAGGCTTATTTATACTTTTTTTTTCTTTTTTTTTTATAAAGTTGAATTGTTGAAACTTGTTCACTCAGACTTTTTTTTTTGACCGCATTAAATGTTTTGTCCCCTCGTTTATATTAAAAATCCACACACAAATGAAAATGGAAAAAAACTTGCCAATACCCAATTCTGTCCCCTATTTTTCCATTTGCAACCATATACTTAGGTACCTTTTAACCCCATGGAAAAAATATCTAACGTTCATTACTACCAATAACAGGAAGAAGATTTTGCTTCGAGAATGACAAACCCATCACGGTGAAGTTTAGGCACGCTCCCCACGAATGCGGCGTGCTAGCTGGATATCTTTTGGCATGATTGTGACACGTTTGGCATGGATAGCACACAGGTTGGTATCTTCAAACAGGCCAACCAAGTAGGCTTCACTTGCCTCCTAGTATAGAAGAAAAGAGTAAAGAACACTTTCACTCTGTGAGTATGAGGAAGAGGACAATTCCAAGTACAACATAACGCGGTATTGAGTTTCTATCTCTATTAATACACATCTAAAGGTTGAGACTGCCAAAGAAAGAAAAGTCACCATTTTCACGTCAACTGTCAAATAACACCCATGTCAAAGCTGTGTACTATTGCCATTGGGTGAGGACATCCTCTGGAACACGACTGAATAAACGCTGTGACAGCACTCACGAGATAAGGGGCCGTCTTATCAAAAGGTGAGTTTGTTTAGGAACTTCTCTTTTTAAAGGCTGGCTTACACCATCTGAGTTACTCGTCTGCTCTTCCAGAGTAAGAGCTGCTGAGCACCACGTGCAATTGGCTGTTGCTAGGGAAAAGAGGAGGCGTTCTTTCACAAGAGGCAGTTAAGGCACACGGCTCCTCGCTGCAGGATCTGTGGCTACTGAGAAGGTTGCTTAATTCTAAAGTCACAAACTAGCAGAAAAAACCACATGGAGAATTGTTAGATGTAAGGGGACAACACCTTTAATTCAGAAACTTCTTCCATCACCAAAAGCAGGACAGCAGTCTGAAAACCACCACTAGACAGCTCTCCTTTTCCTACAGTCTCTTCCTCCCGATAATCACAGCCTAAACCACTGATTAACACCTGAAGACAAGACCCAATCAGCCCTGGGAGTACAGGTGAAGGCAATTCACGCTGAGGTGGAGCCAGGCTCCACCTCTACTGAACCTCATTTAAGGGCTTCCAGCCACTCTGGAAAGGTCTCCTGGAGATCCCTTCTCTGTGAACCTAGATCCTTGGAGACAGGTGAGCAATCTTTTCTTTGTAACATCTTCCTATTCTGCTGGTCTTTCTACCATTACACTCCATAAGCATTATCCACTTGTTTGGGGCATGGAGGGCACAGCCCTGTTAATACAGAAGGCTCTCACACTTGTGAATCCCAGGGCCAGCACCTCAGGAATGAAAAGGACAGCCCCAGTCCTAACAAAACTACAATCCTGTCCTTGTTACTATGACACTGCAGGCAGGATCTGGGGTTAGACAGATGCTCGCTTAGACCTAATTATTCTCCTGGCTCACTTTAAGCTTGCTGCTAATTAGGCCTAGCACAGCAATGGCAACTGTTTCGACGTTCTCAGGTCGATTCAGAATTCCAGCATCTAACAACCTCCTAAGAAACATGCCAGCATGACTTGGCACACAGGGTGAGCGGGCAGAAACGATGGGGTTAACTTCCAGAAAGAAGACTGAGATCCATCCTCTCAGAATGCATCCAAAGCAACAGCTTATGTGAGCTACAAAAAACCAATTAAGTTACATGCAACATTAAATTAGAAGAAAAATATTTACTGCAGATGAGGACTGTAGTATTAAGTTACTTGATATTCTGTGTTATTCCAACACAGTTCTGCTAATTCACTACATGAAAAGGTAAGAAACTTCACCAAGTAAACCATACATAAATAATACAGGACTGAAAGGGTTAAGGCTGGGCTTGTTTTTCTTTTTCTGAAATATGCAAGTAGGAAGCACTATGAATATTCCACAAACAACTTCTATACCAACAACTGCTTAGTGCACAACCTGGAACATTCAAGCTAGTATTCTGAAGATGCATCAACTACGGTCTAAATGTTGGCAAGCACTTCCAGTTTAGAACAAAACAACACAAACGCATCAATAAACCTCAGGATGGAAGAATTACCATATTCACAGCCAGGAGTGAAGTCAGAACACCAAGAAAAAGCAGCAACCTTGGAAATGCATGCAGTCACCTTTCAAAGCTAAGTATGTGCTCAAGTTCGTAGGACTTCATGGTGCACATTTTGGCCCTTTCCATGTGGAAGCCAATAGTCAGAAAGAGAGCTACTCTACAGAAAAGACAAGATGCTCTACAACTAGGTTTTGGAATCAGGAATATACTTCTGTCATGAGAAAATTCTTTCACTCTCATAAGAACAAAGCCTTGGAGGAGATCTAACAAGACCAAACCTTTGGGCACTTGATTTGGGAAGCACAACCACACAGCTGGAGTCCATCAGTTTTCAGAACAGACGGAGCAAAAGGAACCTCAGTAGAACTAACTGAACAGGAATACTGAGTTCTAGGTAGCTTATACTAGACTCAGACTGCCAGGAATTTGGCTCAGGAGGAGCAATCAATGCTTCACCCTCAACATATTTTAAGTTATTTAACTAACACAATAAAAATATTGTGCTTAGTATAAACCACTTTACACAAATACCCATTTCATCAACCACTTTTAGATGTGGCTCAGCGAGCTGTTTTTCTTTAACCTGAATTTCAGGACATCAAGACATTCATTTGGACAGACTGGAACAAGTTCTACTTTCAACACTTTCCATTCTTCCAAAGGTAAGACGTTTGTTCATGTTTGGAGCTTAGGGTAGATGGATTTGTCTACAGCGTCTTATTAACTGTGCTACTCTTTTGCTGGGAGAAAGGGCGGGATGGCAGGTTAAATAAGATACATTGACAGCTGTTATAAGGAGCTGCTGACCTGTCACTATATCATTTTAGCTGCGGCACCTGCAGACCAACATCAAGTCAACTGTAAACAAAGGATGCACGTTACGGTGCGTCCTCCATGTTGGAGCTATGCCCACCACAGCACAATGCAGCTGGAGCCAACCATAAAATCCAACTGCCCAACAGGACTGGTGGGGCCGAGCCCTGCCTTCCATTTCTGAGTTAGGGTGGGAGCCTCCCTGTTGCAGCATTCACACTAGGAACAGTAGTGTCCTCACAAGTACCATTTTTTTGGAAACCTCTCCCAGTGCTCTTGCAGATCTCTGGGAAAGCAGATGGGTGCGTGCTTTAGCACAGCTTCTTCAGGGAGCTGTTAAGTGCCATCAGGCGAGGTGCTGCTCCCAGTACCACTTACCTGCAAAGCACCGATAGCAGCGCTCTGGAAGCGCAGATCTGTTTTGAAGTCCTGAGCAATTTCACGCACCAGACGTTGGAAGGGAAGTTTGCGGATCAAAAGTTCGGTAGACTTCTGATAGCGCCTGATCTCACGGAGAGCCACAGTACCAGGCCTTTAACAATAGACGATAAGAATTTTAAAAAGTGAATTAGTATTCAAAACATAATTCTGCATCACCTTAAGAAGGTTCATGACCTAAACTGAATTGAACATAAAAAACACATGTAATTTTAGGGGACGGCAGAGACCTGTGGAGATCATCTTGTCCACCCCCTACTTCAGCAGTTCGCCACAGGAGGGCACACAGGTGAGTGTCCCAGTGGGTCTTGAGTATCTCTATGGAAAGAGACCCCCACAGTCTCTCTGGGCATCCTGTTCCAGTGCTCTGTCAACACACTGCTTTCATTAGAAGCATCCTGGTGGCAGCCACAGGAACTCGTTTTCCCTTTCTCCGTCACTCACCACTCATCTGCGTGCACTCCCACTGTCCCAGTAGCATCCCTCCCCTCACGAGCACAGGACAGCATCAGGCCACCAGAGGTCCTGATCATAGCGATCAGGGTGCTGGGCACGCGTCCTGACAGTACGCGGCAGGCTCAGCACAGCGCTGTCAGTTAGTTCGTGCAATGACCCCAGAGCCACCATCCCCGCAGTCATTCTGACAGGTACACACGCTCGCAGGGACACGTTTCTTCCTGCCTGATGACTTCACGCCGTGTCAAAATTCCCGGAAAGAAAAAAACGTATCTGCCGTATCGCGCAGCCCGCATCAGGAGCGGTGTTATTTCCCAGCGCTCATCTCGGCGCTGCCACTACCGACAGCACGCCCTTCTCCCGCTAACACTGATTTCCGCGGACGCTCCGTCCCGCCCGGCCCCGCTCCCCCCACGCCGAACTTTCTCCGCCGCCCGGCCCGCCCCAACCTTCCCCCCCCCGCAGTCGAGCGGCGCGGTGCCGCCGGGTGGCGCTGCGTACCGGTAGCGGTGCGGCTTCTTCACCCCGCCAGTAGAGGGCGCGCTCTTGCGGGCCGCCTTGGTGGCCAGCTGCTTGCGGGGCGCCTTGCCGCCGGTGGACTTGCGGGCGGTCTGCTTGGTACGGGCCATGCTGCTGCCGACGTCGCTGCCTTACACCTGCCGCGACAAGACGCCCGCCTCACCTCGCGGCCGGGGCGCTTTCCCCCCCGCCCTGCCTTGCCCCACCGCCCCACCCGCTCGCGGGGTGCGGGGGATGGCGGGGGGGCGGCCGCGCCGCCGGCCCGCTCCGCCCAGCGGAGCCGTTAACCCCAGAGCGCCCTCCCGCTCCTCCCCCCTCCCTCCGGGAAGCGGCGGAACCCGCAGCCCCCCCCCGGCCGTCGCGAGCGGCGGGGGGCCGCGGTGCGGTGCGGCAGGGCACCCCCGGCCGGCTCCTACCTCCCCTTCCCCCTCCCCGAGCCGGCCCGCGCCCCTCTCCCCCTCCCGCCCCGCGGCCCCACCGAGCGAGCGAGCGAGCGGCCGACGGGCGTCCGCGGCGCCCGAAGGGCGGGGGAAGGGCCGGGACGAGCACGAAGGGAGAGGGCAACTTTCGGGGGGTGGCGGCCGGGCCCCCCTCGCTCCGTGCAGGAGAGCCTCCCGGCAGCGCCCCGCTCCGCGGCGCCTCTCGCGGGCGAACTCCGGCGTCGGCCGCAGCGCAAGATGGAAACAGCCGCCGAGCGCAGCCCCGCGCCGAGCAGGAAGGGATCTGTCGCCAAAAACGAGGCGCGGAACCCCGCCGGCGGCTCCGAGCCGCGCGGGTGCCGCTGGAGGGGGGCGGCGGAAAAGTTTGCGCTCGAAAACCCCCAAATCGCGGCGCGTTGGGGCCGTTCCCGGAGCGCGTTTCTCTGCCTCCCGATCGTTTTTTATGCGATAGGGGGGAAAAAAAATATGGTCGGTGACCAGAGAAAAGAGACAAGATGGTGAAGCTGAGCAACAACCGCGGGGAGCGGGGAAGACGGCGGCGGCCGGGAGGTCCCGGGCGGCCCCGGCGGCGCTCCGCCGCCGCTCCCCGGCCCCGATGCGGGGGGACGCGGGGCCCGGGGCGCCGCCGAGGGTCGGGGGAGGCCGCCGAAAGGGGAGGAGGGGGGGGTCCGGAGCGGGGCCGAGCGGGGAGCGGCGCCCGCGCGGAGCGGGGGTTCCGGCGGAGCGAGCGGCGACGCGGGGGAGCGAAGGGGAGGGCGGCGCGGGGCGGCGGCGGCGGGGAGCGGGCCGCGGGGCACCAAAAGTTTGTGGGGAGGGTCGGGGGGCGGCGGGGCAGCGGCGGGGGGGCGCGGGGCGCGGCGCCGCACTTACCCCGTCCGCCTGGGCGAGCGCGGCTGCCGTGCGGGAGGGAGGGAGGGAGGAGGGCGGGCCGAGGGCGGGCGCGAGGAGGAGCCGGAGCTGCGGCGGCTGCTGCTGGCGGCGGCGGCGGTTGCGAGCACAATTGAAAGATGGCTGACCGGAGTGGGCCGGGCCGCCGCCGGGCCGCGCCCCCGCCCCGCCCGCCGGCCAATGGGGCACAATGGAGGGAAGGCTCCGCCCCGGCCGAGGCCCCGCCCCCTCCCTCGGCGCCGTGTGTACAAACACAAAAGGCACGCCGCGCGCCGTGGGGGATTCCCGCCCCCGCCGGGCGCTTAACGGCCGCGCAACGGCGCCCAGCGGCGCGCGGAGCCTCGCTGCGGAGGGCGAGGGGGAAAGACGAGACTGGCGGGGAGCCGGACCCGCCCAACCCGCCGCTCGCGGAGCTGCGCGGAGGAGGGCGGGAAATGGGCGAGAAGCGGCCGTGCCGCCCCTGGGGTCCGGCCCGGAGCGCGCGGTGCCGTCCCTCACGAACGTGCGGGCGCCGCGGGCAGCCCCCCGCCCGGCCCGGCGCCCTCTGCCGCCGTCCCGCCGCCCCGCGCCGCCATTGGCCGAGCGCCTGGAATTCCGTGACGTGGCGACGCGGCGCCCGCCCCCCGGCCCGCCCCTTCTGCTCGGCGGCCTCGCCTCGCCTGCCCTCTTTTCCCCGGCTCGGCAGCTGGCGGGAACGCGCCGAGGGCTGTCGCGGAGCTTCGGTCCTCGGCTGTAGGAAATGAGATTAGGGTGGGGAACGGCTGGCGCGGGCTGCGGCCAGGGACTGAAGCGCCGCCGGGCAGAAGGAGGCACGTTGCGATGGGAAGTTGTGTGGGATGCGGGAACGCTTCCCGCAGGAAGCCGCCATCCAGCGCAGGGGGCAGAGCCCGTTCGCATTTGGGCTCTGTCCGCGTTTTCCAAAATACTTTGCTTCCTTGGGAAGCTCGCTCCTATCCTGCTGAGGAGGTTCTGGCAGGGAAAGGCGTGCATTTCTCATAACGCGTCTTTCAGGCGGCCCCCGGCCCGCTCCAACACCAGCAGAAAGCTTCGGCCCCGGCTGGCGTCTCGTGCTCTTAGCCAACATCATCCCCGTGTCGCTGCTGGCTGCAGGCAGGTTCGCAAACAATGGCAGCCGCTTCCCTCTGCGGCAGCACAGGTTGCAAACCCCAGGGTAGATGAAGCGCACCTCTCCTGCTGTTGTTCGTACAAAGGAGAAGGTGTGAGCTCAGAGTACAACAGTTTTCAAACGACACTGCTTGCATCGTTAAGAAATGTTTGAAAAAGGTTTTCACTCTAAAAGACGTTCAGTTTGTTATATCACCACACAAAGTCCAAGCGGCCTCTGATCAAAGAAGAAATCTCTGTTTCCCACCCACACAAAAAGCACAAACCAAAAATGCAAACCGCTTTGCCTAGCTCCCACTCAGCAGACAGAGAGAGGTTCCCTTCCCGTTACCCACGCAGGGCGAGTTTGTGTTGTTACCAGTTAGCATAACAACTTCTTCACGGTGAGGGTGATGGAGCACTGCAACAGGCTGCCCAGGGAGGTCGTGGAGTCTCCTTCTATGGAGAAATTCAGCACCCGTCTGGGCGCCCACCTGTGCAGCCCGCTTTGCACAGGGGTTGGACTCCTGAAGATTGAGGCCTTTAATTCAGCCTCCAGCTCTGTAGTTCCTCTCTTGGAAAGACTTACCCAGTGTTCAATCCCCCTGAACACGTTTGCCTATATATATGTGCTACTGCCTCTTAATTCCCTGCACATCATCAAGGATTCTCATATTATAATCTCATTTGTACTGCCTATTATAACATGCACACGCTGCTGGAACTCATCTATCATCCTTCTAATGAGGTCCTACGGAACATGAAAGAGTAAATAACATTACATAAAACAGCACTAATTCTTTCTTTTCCCTGGTCTACCGAGTTTCCTTTGGAGGAAAGAGTGTTACACAGGAAACCTGTAAGAAAATACTGTAATGACATCCCAAAGTTCCATTCCCTTTTAATTCGTTTGGTTGTAAGTTTTATTTACAATAGCCTTTAAAAGATGCTTAGTATTTTAATATCCTTTAAAATATCAAGTCCATTTCCTTTTAAAGACTGGAAGTTAAAAACAGCTGTAATTGCCTGATGCACAGCTAAGAACAGAGTTTGAGATGCGTTAAGGTTCACCGTAGCTGTAACCATTGCCTCCATTCTTACTAATCAGCTTTGAAGAGCTTGGGTACAATAGTTCCTTATCTTTGGGTGGAAACAGCACATTGAATATTTCCCCCCCAAAAAACATCATTCCAATTATACTGACATTGTAAAAACCCTCAACAGAAATTTAAGTAGCTTTTTAAACAACTATGTTTCATATTTTCTCCCTGACTCACACACTTAGAACTGGATAATTACACTCTCTTTTGTTACAACACATGAGATGATAAAGGAAAATGATAACAATACAGACAGGACTGCACTTTTACACAGTCAAGAACCTCCCCTCATCAACAGAACCTCCCCTTCTTAATGTCTCTGTTGAGCTTATACCTTTTTTCTTCCTTTTCTAAGCAGCACTATGCTATTTTTCACGCACTTAGGCAGACATTATCAGTCTAGAGTGCACTGAAGAGTTAAATGAAGCAGGAACAGAACTCCAGTAAGAGCCAGGGAATAGTGTTCAGCAGATTGTTGCGCGGTGGTTGTACTCACCAAAGACTGGAGATGATACAGCAGACTTTCTGTGATTTTCAGATGAAATGTAACCAAATGGCATAACGTATTTTGGAAATATGCTATGAACTTTTAATATGAAGCTATGTTACAGCCAACGACAAATAAAGAGAGTTCATTTCCTCTAATGGTAATACAGGATTTTGGAATTTACTGTACCTAGCTGAGTTAGTTTGCATAGATTTCAAGCAGGTTTTTGCAAGTCTTTCTGCAGCTTAGGGAAGAGCAATTGTCCTGGGGAGCGTCTCCTCCTCCATTTACAATACCACAAAATTATTCAACTCTTTCTAGCCCTCCTGGTTCTTCACACATGACTACCTTATCATAACAACCTTCTTCATCTTTTAAAAGCACTGCATAGTACTGCGGAAGGAACTAGATAGCTGGTGGCCTTCATCCTAATGGAGACTACTGTAAAATCTTTTATGTCCTGGTACTTTTGTGTTGATAGATTCATTAAAGCTGTCAAGGGGAAACAAGCTGCACAAACTCTAATTGGTTCCAAATAAGATCCCCGCTACTACAATGATTTATTTTGAGCTCCTGTTGTAGTAGAGTTTCATCAAGATGATTTGCCCTAAGACTCATACATGCTGGCAAATAAACCCCTGCAGGCTTGCATTAGGGAGGAGAAAAAAACGGCTCACTGTTTTCCACCACCCATTAGGCTCACATTGGCCTCATTTTGCAGTGCTGTTCCTGTAAAGGATGTCTTTTTTTTCCACACTGGTGCCGTATCTAGCCCATGCTGACACTGCCTTTAAAAGCTCTTTCTGTGAGCTACTATTCTTGACAGAACTAAAAGAGTAGTATTATTTATTCCATTTCTTTGCTCGGTGGGGTAATCTCACGAGATATGAATCTCCTCTTCATGAGGGCCCTAGGGATAGCAGCTGGAGTGAAACTCAGCCATGCTTTAATACAATGCAGACAACACCAAGCATAGTACTCAGGCTCCAGCAGCAAAGCAAAGCATCTGGTATGATGCCCGATATTATAATTTATTTGTGACAATATTTTGTGGAAGAGTTACATTCAAAATGGATCTGTTTCTTCCATGTAAAACCTCATAAACAAGACTGTCTTGAAATGGCGTTGATGCTTCACAAGCCCACCTTGTGAATCTACTGAGAAAGGTTTTCAGAAATGAAATTATTATTCTGAGGTCTGATCCTAGCACCACTGTGAGGTGTTCTGCCATATCCTGTCTTTCTTAACAAGTACTCCCAAATCTCAAAGCCTACTTTGGGAAGCCTAGTCTCCTGAGTGACAGCAGAAAAGGGAATGAGAAGGTGGAGTGGCATACAGAACATTGACAGCAAGGAACATTAATTAAGTTCCTTTCAGTCTTAGGAGGCTGCAGAGTTTGGGGGGGTTTAGAGAAATAAAAGCTTCCTATTTTCCCAACATTCTCAGTAACTCCCATACTTTGTAGTCTATACTTTACTGTGTCACATTTTAAAATCATCTTTATTCATTTCTCCTCCTTTTTTCCAATTTGCATCTCACGAGGCATCTCAGTGCGAAAACTACAGTTGCTGTTAACAGTGCTTGATGTTACTGCTGCTTGGTAGAGTTTCCAAATCCTCAGAAACTTATCCAGCATAATTCACATCCGAGTCCTTTCTGGACTAACTTGTCCTTACTATACATTGCTGAGTATCTTCGATCCCAGCTGAGATTTAAAGGATTTGAAGGTATTGAGCTCTTAATCTGGCTTAATATGACTTCAACTGTGTTCCCAAAGACAGGAACCACAGTTAAAAGCTGTCTTAAAAAAAAAAAGAAAAAAAGAAGATGCTTCACATATGCCTGCTGCTAGAGCAAGAATTAGAAGTTCCAGGCTTCCAAACACACTCCATACCTTCCAAGTCTCATTCTCTTTGTGGGCACTGCAAAGGCACCTTCACACGGCCCAGATGCTTTAAGAGCGTTCCGTGTTCCTTGGTGTATGAGAAGAATTTTTCAGGCAGCTCCAGTTCTTCCTATTTGACTTCCATGTCTTAGCTGGTTGCCAATAAGCCCTAAATCCTTTCAGACAGGTGATAACATCAGAAGTTCATCTTCTATTTTTGAATGCTGAAGAAAATGTCAGGCAGCTGTGCTTGCAGAGACAGGTTTGATTCCCTAACAGCTCCAAAACCCACCAAAACAAACAAACAAGCAGCAGAAGGCAAACGAGAATGCACAAACTTAGGGTGTTTTTGGCAAACCTTATGTTCTCTGGGGACTGACTACAGTTTTGTTATGCTAACTCCTGGTACTAATGCTTAAAGCATACAAGCAATGTTATGATACTAGCTGAAATCTAGCCACCAAAGTGGTGAACATCAGCTGAGTTTAGCATGGAATACAGGGCATGGGTCTCAAGACAAAGGCAGGGAAGAACCACTGAACACCTCAGCAAAAAAGCTGCAGGAAAGGCTGCAAGTGTCCTCTGGGCTATAAGGTTTTCAGGCACAGCTCCCATGCTGGCACTGTGTCCTACATCCAGCAGAGGGGCTGTGCTTACACAGGCTAAACCCCTACTGAGAGAGAGAATACTTTATCCAATGCTACTGAAGTCAATGCCTTTACATTGAAGTTCCACCCTTTAGCCTGGCTCTGACCCACACGGAGCATTCCTGGGAGATGCCATCATTTCCCACCTGCAATAGGCACAAAGGACCCTTCTCACTTGGCTTGCTGAAGAACGAGCAGGCTATCTGGCACTACCCAATTTTGGTACGTGGCTCAGAGAGCCATGAAGATCAGCCACAACTGCAGCATTTAAGATGCTTGGTTATGACTCCCCCAAGATCGTTTTATAGAGAGCCTGTGCGGGCAAAGGGCTGCAGTGCACACCATGCAGTGAACTTGCTTCTGCAGACCTGAGACAAGGTGACGCGGCTCCAGCGGCACAAAGCTTCTTTTGACAAACTGTTCCTGTGATTTCCTGCTCCAACAGAACAGTGTGTTGGGGGAGAGCAAAACAAAACAAAACCAAAATAAACAAAAACCCTAACAACAACCGCCATCACCAAGACTTTCTGGCTGTGACTTTTACACACTGGCACAATTTGTTCATAGCACTACTTTCAGAATCAAGCCGTCTGACACCAACTTCTAGGCCAGAGGCCAAGCTGGACAGGAAAACGAAGGAAAAATATGCACAGCAGTGTCACTGTCTTGTCACTAATGTTCAAAAGCAACCGTACGGGGACACGATTTTTCTAAGACTCACATACATGTGTCTTAAGAAAGATCCTCAAGGGGCATACCATTCTGTACTGTAAATTCCTCATAGATGACACATGATTACTTCTGTTTTGGAAAGGATTAGAAGAAATACTGAGAGCAGTCTGGGGTACACCGATGATACTCCTAACACCATGCTAATTACAACAACATGTGTGTGAAAAGTTGTATAAACAACACAGCAAACTATTCCAAAATCAAGCAAACAAGAATCTACTCATGGCTGTAATGTTATAAAGTCAGTGTTTCCCAAGATTGAATTTATTGTATAAAAACAAAGAAAAGCATCCCCCCCCCCCCCAGAAGTGTTTCTTCTAAAAAGAAAAACATGCACCTGTCATTATCCATTTGCAGGTCCTCTTCAGGATAGCAGAATTATCTCTAAACCAGAAGATAAGTATTATTATTACAAAAAAGTTGTCTGAATGTATGTGGCACTCATTACGAGCTGGCTGAAAGGAAGCCATATCAAACTCAGCATTCAAAGAATGAGGCTTCTCTATACTGCAGACTGGATCCTTCAGTTAAGACACTTCTCCCTGAAGTCAGTAGAGCTTTGACAGTGGTCAATAGGTGAGGATCTAACTCACTGTTTCATCAAGGGGTGAACAAATTGGTGATGTGATCTGCTTTAAATGAGATTTATGAATACACACAGTATGCCATGCCCCATAAACAGACTGCTAGCCACTCGTTACCTCTGCTGAACATAACTCAAAATGAGGGCATACCTGTTTAAAGCACTACTTTAACTTTTTATCTTTTTAGATAGGTTCTCTGTGCTCCTCCTTTTGCTGCTGTGCTTTCTCTCCTTCAGTTTCCTTGTAGAATTTCCCGAGGTAAACCGAAAGCAACCAGACGTGGGTGGGGTAATGTAATCTGGGAGCTCCTCCCAACTACTGGAAATGCAACTTCAGTTTCAGCAAGGAACATTTCCAAATCGACTTCCGTCTCAGTTGAAAAGAAAATGAGAATACCTGATCTCTTTTCCCTTTTTCCACCTCAGCGGATCGTTTCAAGAACAGTGTGATTTCTTCTGCTCTTGGAGCTTCTAGTTATTGCAAGCAACGTCACAATTGGATGAAAAGCTCACATGGTAAAGGCACGCGAACGTTCAATCTCTGCTGTTTCTTAAGACTTTATAGTATAGAGGTCAGACACATTTATTCATGGAACACATTTCACCCTGCTCTCTCTTAGCTTTGGACTTTTTTCAAAGCTGCCAAACATTCAGATGCCAATTAAGAAACCAGAATCCAGACTTTAAACGGAGATTAAGTAATTCGGCAGTGTCTCTACAAGCTATAATTAAAAGCAGTTAGCTTCATTACAGGGAGAGCAGAGGTATGGAGGCAGAGACCTACATTTGGTATTGTTTTCCAGTAAAATATACTGTAAACAACAACTAGCCCATTCATTTCTCCCCCACTGCATTCGGTTAAAATTGATCAGAACAGATCAAATCTAAGCACTGAAACTAATAAGTAAGAGGCAATGTATGAGGTTAAGGAAATACCAGAATCTGACAGGCCAGGAAGTATCAACTGCAGTATTACCTGGGCGTCTAATTAGCCGATTTATCTCAAATTATTGCTGCCAAATTTAAAATGATCATTGACAACACAAGCAAGGCAGACTGTGGTGCTGATACTCACGGCCAAACAAAAACAAGCCTTAGTTTCTCAGGTTCGATATTTGCATGCGCAGAGCGGTACATGTTTCTGTGAAAAAAAGCCCACTTTCCATATTCTTGCATAGGATGAAGACAAAAGTACGTCCACAGCAAAGGGAGTGCTGTGATGGTCAAAAAAAAAAAAAAGCAGTTATTTTTAAATCTTAACAAGTATCTGCATCATCACCAACTGTGGTCTATAGGGAGAATAAATGTAGTTATTCATCACAGACTTATTTGGAGATTGATATGTAGGCGTTCACCGTGAGACAATAAGCAGATCTAACAGTCGCCATTGCATAATACAGGGTCATACAAGTAATGTGATGTCTCTAGTTCTCCCCCAGCTGCTGCTGACCCAGTATCAGGTATCATATGCACTGTCTCGAGCCATTGTGCTGATGACACAAAAACTGAAGCAGATGACTACTGAAGCTTGGCAGGAAGCTGCACCTGCAAATACCAACTTAGATTCATTAGGGTTAATCGCATTTTTGTCAAACACTGTGATGTCAGTATCTGAAGTAAAAAGTGTTCCCTTGTGTCATACAGCTGCTTACTTATTGTTCTGAGAATATGCATGCACAGGTTTCTTTTCATGCTGTCCTGACCTTCATGCAAAAATAACATGAAAGTGCATAAAGTGTTTATGGTTTGCAAATATACTATCTGCAACTTACACATTGGGACACCATGAAAACGTAAAAGAAAATATAGCCAGGTGAGCCAGTCTCCACATACATTACAGAATGTGACAGACTGTCTAGTAGATGGAAAACCAGTTCCTAAAAGATAGGTTTTCAAGTTCTTTCAATGGCTTCCGTTTTTTAACATCTGTGCACACTTACAATGTTGTAAAAGGAAAATGCACGTCTGTTTCACATTGTAAGTGATACACTTAAGAGCGAGAAACGTTGAATTCTTATCAGTACAACTTCAGACTCAATGTTTGTTACGCTGAGCATCTTGGTGAACAACCATTTCCGTGCTCTTCCCTACCACAGGCATCTTGTATGCACACATTAGAAGTGATGGGCCACTGAGTATCTCTCAGCACTGAGTCTTGCATAATGTGATCCTGGTCTTGAGTGGGGCCGTTATCAGCTGCTGTAAAGTGCTGCTACTGCTATTAAAATGCAATATACTGGAGGAAATAATGAGGATGAGTGAATGAATGACCAAGTAGCATTTTGATGGTTATGTATCTCATGGTTTCAGATACTGAAAAAGAAAATCCCTCTGCTGCACGTTAGATGAAGTAACAGATTTTAAGCAGAAAATAGTCCAACATATTGCATGTAACAGACCATGAGGCCACACTCAGTAACTCAGACATCGCATGCAAGGAATGAAACAAGGAAAGAATGGGTGCTCTGAAAATGATACCAAAATAATACAGAATTTTAAATTCTAGCCTTGTTCCTGCCACTTACTTGAGAAAGCAGTATAACCAGTTTGCCTGAGTTTCACTGTTTAAAAAGTCAGAGTGCTTCCTTATTCCACAAGGACAGTGTCAGGTTTAATTAATTATGTCTGTAAAATCTTTTCTAAATGAAAAGTGTAGGCATGATTTATTAATTAACTCTGAAACACCACTGCACAATCAGAGACTGATCACTGTTTTATCAAGAGGATAACATTTTAATAAAATATATCTCAAACTGGAAATTACAGTAACAGCCTTTTTGACTTATTTAGATTTCTTTTGTGGAGAGCAAAGCAATAGATTTTTGATGAGTTCTAGGAATAGAAGGGTAATCAAGAACAAGAGAAACAGGAACACTCAACCAGCCCTTCTACTGCCATGAATGTGGTACCAGCTAAATGGCATTGCATAAATCATGAGAATAGGGACTGTACACCTAGTGCTGCTGCCAGACCAAGCTGAAAGAAAACTACTCTTCTACCTATTAGATGTCACCTGTAGCCTGATGACTTGCAGGGATCCGTGCGAGTCACTTACATATAGCCATCCAGAACTGCAGTGTGGCATTAATAGCTTCAAATTACCTGCAAGTGACAATGTGTGATCTATAACGGTCTTGATTTATGTTGTGATGGCTCCACTATTGTCAGCTCTCAATTTCACAGGTGCATTGCAGCGGTAGGATGCATCTGCAGGCAGGATCCATGCGTCAGAGTTATGAATGACTGTTTGCTGCAGTGGACACAAGTGGCACCTCTTTTTTGGTGCTCTTTTCCCTGCGAGGAGCTGCCATCACAGGGATATTGTCCTTCAGTCAATACTGAATTCATCAGCATGGATGTAAGAGTAGTACAAAATATTTAGACAAGACGTGGATCAAATGACCTGTGAACTACACTGACTCAAGCATATCTTCCGGACAGCCCCGTGGCCCAACTCTTTCCTGGACAACTCCATCTATTCTTTGGCCTGTACTGGCAAGCTCCACACCCTCAGTGCCAACAGCCCAAGTTTCACAGTAGGAAATGAATCATGCTCTCAGAATGCAAACTGCAATCCTACAAACCTAAGAAAAAAGCTATTCATCTCTCATATACCAGCATCACTCATGTATTGCCTACTATGTTTTAATCTGATATTATATAGGAATAAAAATGCCCAAATTTGCCTAGTGGCCAATGTCCCTGCCTGTGGCAAGGGGGTTGACACCAGATGATCTTTAAGGTCCATTTCAACCCAGGCCATTCTATTATTTTCCGATTCTATCAGATCTACCAGAATTCATCATTAGATGTCATTCCAAAGATTAAGTACATGATTATAAATGAAATTAGTAACATCAGGTGATTTGAAATACAGTGTAGGTTGAACTGGAGCCCAATCCAGGACAAAATAACCACATCTCTTCCTAGCTACACAGATATCAGGTTTGTACTGCTGCAATATGGCATACAATTCAGCAACACCACTTGCTCCAACAGGTAAGACATAAGGGATTGTCCTGCCTGGCTGAGAATACTTTGTGAAAACACTGCAGCTAAAACGAAAACAGTGTAACAACAGTGGGCCAAGTTTGACTTGTTAGTTGGTCAGAACAAGCATATTACCTTAATTAATTACTCATTTGTTTATGTGAAGTCCACGCTTGCTGGTCACAGCATCTCTCTGCTTCTGAGTTTCTCAGCTTTCTCTTTTTTGCCACACATTCTTCAGACTGCCTGGCAGGAGAGCTACATTTCTGCACAGCCCATGCTCATGCTGACCCAGCCGAGCAGCACCTTGCTCCCCTGAGCAAAAACACAGTGGGACAGCCATGGCACCAAGCCTTCCAAAACAGCCAAGCAGCCCAGACATGAGTTTTATTTTGTTGAGGTGCAGTCGGTACCGAAGGCATTATGCTACTCTCAGGCTCCAATACAGACATCCTTCTCACTTCCAAACCATAAGGGTGGCTGAGAGCCACCGGGCCAGGGCTGGAGCAGGCAGATTACACTGCTGCCCAGTGCCAGATAAGCTGCCAGCCAAGTACCTTCCCAGGCACCTGGGATGGCCCCATGGAGCTGGGTCTCCCTGCCCACTCCTCCAGGAAGGGACTGGACAGGCATGCTGAATCTGCAGCTTCCCTCAGTGTTCCACCTGCTGCATGCACAGCCTAATAATAGTGACATGGAGGTAGGAGGCCACCTAGCCCAACAACGTTTTCAATGGTGTTTGCAACAAGGCGCAGGAGGCAGCACCCTGCCTGTGCACTCACTAGGTAGCTGTGCTGAGGGTGTGAAGGAGACCAAAGCCTGGATCTCCATCATGCCATTGCACAGATCTCTTCTTTGAGAGGCAAAGGTACGCACTTCCTTATAACCACTCCTCAGGCCTCCTGCTTATGGCTAGCTGCAGCGCATCACAGAGAGCTCAACTTCCACCCTAAACACTCCATGTAACTATGCCACTGGATCAGTTCCCCAGGCTGGGGAACGACCTTCAGGATTGCTTCCTGTGCAGGAAGGCTGGGCACGTCCTCTGCACGGTGAGCTCCAGGTGAGCCACACTCAGAGCCACTCCATGAAAAATGCCATATTCCTGTGGGCCTCCAGCAAAAGAAAGATGTGGAGTTTTCAGAGTGAGTTCAGAGAAGGCTACAAAGATGCTGGAGGGCTGAAGCACCTCTCCTATGAAGAAAGACTGAGTGGGAAGAGTTTTTTCAGCCTGTAGGAGGCTCTGGAGAGACCTCACTGCAACCTTTCAGTGCTTAAAGGGAGCTCGTAGACAGGAGGAAAATCAACTTTTCACACAAACAGTGACAGGAAAACGTGGTTTTAAACTAAAAGAGGAGAAATTTAGGTGAGATATCAGGGGAAAATTTCACTGGGAGGGCAGTGAGGCCCTGGCACAGCTGCCCACAGTAGCTGTGGTGCCCCATCACTGGAAGCACTGCAGGGTAGGTTGGATGCAGCCCGAGCTGGTGGGGGCAGCCCTGCCCATGGCTGGGGGTGGGGCCGGGGGGCTTTTAAGGCCTTTCCAACCCATCCCATGCTGTGACTCTATGCCACACAGGGCTGTGTCATTGCTACGCCGTGGTAATGGGCTCACAAACCGACTGCTGTAAGCCGGCGTTTGGGAGGCCTCTAAAGCAATGAACTGAGCCTCTGAAGGGACTGAGACAGCAGATCGACCCTGAAGGTTAAGGTGTAACACTACAGGTTGCTTTAGGCGATGCTTCAGCCTCTAGCAGTTTAAATACGGAATCCAAGCCGCTAGGAGGCCTTTTATAGCTCCTATGAAATACAAGCAGTCAATTGCCACTAGCAGCCCGCCCCAAAGGCTCGAACGGCACAACAAACACGGCACAACCACCGCCGAGCTCAGGCACCGCCCGCCCCTTATCGCCCCGCGCCACACGACGCCTGCCACCCCCGCGCGTCACCTGACCGCGCGACGCTGACGTCACGGGCGCGCGGGGCGGTGGTTGGTGGTGGCGAGCCAAGATGGCGCTGCTGGTGCGGGAGCCGCTGTGCTCGCGGGCGCGGCTGCGGGCGCTGCCCTCCGGCGGCGGCTCGGTGCGCGGCCTGCTGCGGGACTGCGCTCGGGAGCTGGTGAGTGGTAGCGGGACGGAACTCCGGCCCTGCGGGCGGCACTCCGCGTCTCGGAGGCCGGCCTCCCTCGCCGCGCTGTTCCCTGGTTGGGCCTCGGCTGGGTGTTTCGTTTCCCGTCGGGTGACGAATTGTTGTTTGGTTGATGTTGTTTGTTTGTTTTTAGAACGTTCCCGAAGAAAGTTTGTATGTGAAGTGTAACGGGCGGCTGGCGGCTGGAGAAGACGCGCTGCGGGATGGCGCCGTGTACAGCGTGGAGCTGCGGCTGTGCGGGGGGAAAGGAGGTCGGTGTGCTCTGTTACCCCATACACATCGTGCGGGCTTCTGAGAACTGACCGTGCTGTTCTCGGGCCTGGTGCAGCTCCTGCTGCTTTCATGAACGAGCTTGTTGCTGTTGATTTTGGGGAACGTGTCCTGCCCAGGTGTAGCAGCTAGGTCCTTCAGAATGTGAAAGCTGTAGCATGTAGTTGATGAGCTATGTGAATTCTCCTTGGCTTTATTAGCTGAACGCAATAGGGCTCTGTGGTACGGCAGGCTGTTTAGAGTGTTTAGTATTTACAGCACTCCTTAAAGATTATTTAAAGGCATCAATGTATAGATATGTTCCAGCTCCTGCTTGAAAAATCATGCTTGCTTCTTTTAGGCTGCTTAAAATTATATTAATGTTAGTCCACGTAGTGTCTCATTGAGGTAGCTGAGGGATTTTGTCAAACTTCAGACAATGTAAGGTGGGACTGAGTGAGAGAAGTTAGCAGTTAGCAGAAGTTGCCTGTGACTAGTAGCTGAGGAGTTATGGAATCACTAAGGTGGGAAAAGGCCACTGAAATTGTCACATCCAGCCATCATAATCTATTTGGTGAAGCTGTACAGCATAATTGTGGTCAGCTTGATGACATGGCTGTGCCTATCTCTTAAAAATAGGTGCTTCTTAAAATATTTTATTTAAAGGACGTTTAAGTTTGATGGGAGGTAAAGGGACAAAGGGGAGAAGTATATTCTGGATAAATTGGGAAGGACTGAGAATGTTAAGTTGAAGATAGAGAGGATTGCAAACAATTCTGCTGGGGGGAATCCAGGGGTAGGCTCTTGTGTTAGGAGTGCTGCACAGGTCCTGGTAACCTTAGTGTGCAATATTAGGAAAGCAGAAATGACAT